CTGTGCTCTTGCTGGCTGCTGGCTGCTCTCCGTTTCTGGAAGTGAAGTGAGGGAAAGTGAAGTCGCTCAGTCGTGTCCAACTCTTTGTGACCCCATGGACTGTAGCCTACCAGGCTCCTCTGTCCATGGGATTCTCCAGGCAGAAGCATACTGGAGTGGGTTGCCATTTGGAGGCAGCTCTCAAATCCTTTCTCTGCAGCCCCCACCCCCTGGCGACCCTGCCCCCTCCTTCAAAGCCACTGACGGTGCATCAAATCCTTCTTGTGCTCAGAATCGCTGACTCTCCTTTTGCCATCAGAGAAACTCTGCTTTTAAAGGGCTCTTTCCATTTAGGTCAGGCCCATCCAGAGAACCACTCTATTTGAAGGTCTGTTGATTAGTAAAGTTATTCCATTGTGAATCCCTTTTGCCATTTAATGAAAAAATAATCTTAGGGGCTTCTCACGTGGTGTATGGTAAAGAATCCACTTGTCAATGCAGGAGACACAGGAGACGTGGGTTTGATCCCTGGGTCGGGAAGATCCCCTGGAGAAGGAAGCAGCAACGCACTCCAGTATTCCTGTCTGAGAATCCCATGGACAGAGGAGACGGGCGGGCTATAGTCCATGAAGTCTCAGAGTCAGACATGAGTGAGAAACTGAGCACGCAATCACAGGGGCAATTCTCAGGGCGCATCTTAGAATTCTGCCTTTCCCAATGCCTGGGACTGTGAGTCTGAGACCCAGAGTGGTGTCCTTTGGAGATAAAGAGACTCTTTTGTCTTCTGGCCGAAGAGTTGTCCCACTTGGTTCCACCCCGTGTGGGTGGGTGACCAACAGCCCTGGCCCCAACTCTTACCAGATACACTCTGGAGATCTACAAATAGAGAAAAACAGGCATTCCTCTCCCTCGGAGAAAACTCCTTTCTCTGAAAGCCTCATGGACACAGGACTCCGCTAAGAAGCTCAACACTGCACTGAGCACTCTGTCCTGGAGAGAAAGAAAGCCAGGCCTTGTCTGTTGGTTGGCTCCTGGCTTCCTTGAGGGTCTGCCCTTAACAAGCTCCCAGAACTTTCTGTACCATGTTTCTAGCTCCTTTCCATGCTTGTTCCTTGTAGCAAGGCCAGGTGGGGAGCCTCCCTCCACCCCCTTCTGGGGCCTTCTCCCCTTCAGCTATTCAGGAATGTAGATGCCTGCAGCAAAAACCACTAAAGATGTTTTCTTAGCTGCAGGCCTGCCCACTGGGGCCCCTCGATGCAGAAGGACCCTTTGTGCAGATTCCCCCTCCTCCTCGCCCAGGAGCTGGCACCTCAGCCCCGCCGCGGCTTCGACCTTGCTCTCCCCTCCCGTGGGTGAGTTTCGGGGCCTGGAGGACTGGGAGGGGTCCCTGCGCTGCTGGCGAAACAGCTGATCCGGAGCTCCCACCAGGGGCCCTCTGCCCCGCCTGCAGCCCTTCCTTTCCCCTGGAGCCCCACAGAGGGCAGCCAGTGGCAGGCAGGCAGCAAGGGGTGGGGACGATAAAGGCCCAGGTCGTCCCCCCAGTTCAAGGGGGCCCAGAGTCTCTCTGCAGAGCCACTGGACAGCACTTCATAGCAAGGGAGCTAAGACTGGTGTGCACGCAGGTGCCGTCGGCTCCGCTCAGAACTTCAAAGCTAAAAGGAAGCTCTCCGATTGGCCAGACTGCCTGTTATCACTCAGGCACTTGGTACCAATTTAATGGAGAATAACATCCATGTGTCAGGCAGTGAGTAGGTGAATCTGAAAGCTTGGCCGGAGCATGGCTGGGAGGGGGGCAGGGGCAGAGACAGGCTGAGAGCCTGGGAGCTGGTACCTCAAAGGGCGGGATCCTGCCCGAGGCAATAGGAAGGCGCCAGAGGGCTTTGTGTGGGCTTCCCCGGTGGCACTAGCGGTAAAGAACCCGCCTGCCAGTGCAGCAGACATAAGAGACATGGGTTCCACCCCTGGGTCTGAAACATCCTCTGGAGAAGGCCATGGCAATTCACTCCAGTATTCTTGCCTGGAGAATCCCGTGGACAGAGGAGCCTGGTGGTCTACGGTCCATAGCGTCAGAGTCAGGCACGACTGAAGCAACTGAGCATGCACCCATTCTTTTCCACTATGGCTTATCCCAGAATATTGAATATACACTAGGACCCTGTTGTTTAACCACTCTATATGTCATAATTTGCATCTCCCAATCCCAACCTCCCTCTCCATCCCTCCCCTACCTGCCTCCCCCCTTGGCAACCGCACGTCTTCCCTCTGCGTCTGTGAGTCTGTTTCCGCTTTGAAGATAAGCTCATCTGTGTCATATCTCAGATCCCACATATGAGTGATATCATATGGTGTTTGTCGTTCTGACTTACTTCCCTTGGCGTGATCATCTCTAGCTGCTTTTCTCGCCCCTGAGTTTTTCAGGGAACCAAGCCCTCTGGTGGATGCCTTTCTGGGGAAAAGAAGAAAGAGCTGACGGAGGCAGAGCCAGTGAAGCGCCTCACGGCGGTGTGCAGGCCCTGCCCACTGCCTTTCTCCTGCAGTGAGTTTCGTCCACACGGCGTCAGAAGGGCCGTGAGTGGCGGTGGCGAGGGGCCAGTCACCTCCCCAGCCCTGGCTCAGGCTCCCGATGCCCAACCTTTGTGTTTACTGAGTGGGCTGGCTGAACGCTCAGGTCTTTATCAGTTGTGACCACACCCTCCTGTAAGGCCCCGGGGAGAAAGCAGAACCAAGGACTAGGAAAGATCAACAGCCATGCTTTTTGGTTCTTCTAGGTGCAGCCCTTCCAACCTGAGGTCATAGAGGAACTGAGGCTGCAGGGGGTGGGGCGGGAACCCCACGGGTCCAGGGACACTGCACCCACATCCGGGTGTGGTTTCTCCCAGGACCGAACAGCCACCGGCATCCACCGGACCAGCATCACCCAGGGGAGCTGGCCTTCGTCCTGGCCTCTCTTGGCCTCAGAGGAATCCAGATCACAGTTGGCAACATTAGATTGCTCAGGCCAACCGCTCCCTTCAGAGATACAAACTAGGGCGTTTGGAATCTCAGGGCAAATACAGAACACGCTGGCAGCCAGATCACCTGACGCCCCCGCCTCCACCCTGGGGTGGGGGTTGTCTGACCACCCTATCACCTGACCTTAGGTCACCGCCCTCCCCTGGAGTGTGGTTCTCTCCTTTGGAAATCTCGTTTACTGTGTAACATAATATAATCACGGTTAACTACCGAGGACTAGATCACGTGGCCACTTGGGAATTCCACCTTCAACAGGGCTGGAGGCTCCCTTCCCCCTCACCTGGACTGACCCCCAGGCCAGCTCCTGGGAGGAAGTGTCCTTCTCAGCTCTTGACTGCCCCTAATTACTCAGCGAGGTTGGACCAGATCTCCCAATACATCGATTACAACAGGGTGGTGGACGCAGTGGGCGGACGGCTTTTGTCTCCCAGAGGCAAGTTCCCGCCCACCCAGCTGGCCCAGACCCGCATGTCTCAGCCTGTGGTTTCGGCTTCCAAGCCCAGAGTGTGGAGACGCCCGTGGGAGGCCAGTGGGATGCCAGTGGGATGCCGAGAGGGAAGATGGTCAAACGCCTGACAGCTCTAACTGCAGGTGCCTTTCTGGCCAGGATCCCCCAGCATCTCATTCTGTTCTGTTATTTTATTTGGCCATATCACGTTGCCTGTGGGATCTCGGTTTCCTGACGAGATACTGAACCTGGGCCACTGCAGTGAAAGCCCAGAATCGTAACCACTGGGCCACCAGGGAACTACCCACCCCCACCACACACACACTTTCTTTTTGCATTTCTACCTGGTTCCCTCAAACTTTACTATGACTTAACTTTAATAAATATTTATTGAGAGCAAGCTCAATGTACTGGCACAGGGGCTGGAGGCTAGGGGTCTGGACCCTTGCCTTCAGAAGACTGAAATGAAAAGAAATATAAGCTCAAAACCAGTGGCTTCCTTTCCAGGTTCTGAAACGTACTGATCCTATGACTTCTGCAAGTAATTAGCCTTTTCAATTCCTCGTCTGCTTGCCTGAAAAACGGGTGATACTCATGGGTTGTTGTTGAGACACTAAATATACAGATGGATCATGGCCAGGGCATCTATAAAAATAGATCTCTGACCCGCAATCCGCGGCAACCATGCCAGGAAGCCGGCCTGCTTGCCGTAAGTCAGACTTGTAGGAAATAAGACCGCTATCCCGAACAAGTGGTCCAAAAAGCCAAACAGTAACCCCTGTAGCAATCATCCCACGTGGGCAGGGCTTGATTAATGATTGACAGCTGCCCTAGCTCGCATCCCTGCTTCCAGCTTAGCACCAATCAGAGAAAACCAGATATGCACTTCTAACCTCTCACATAGGACACTCTACTTTTTAAAAAACATTAATTTATTTATTCTTGGCCATGTCATGTGACATGTGGGATCTTAGTTCTCTAACTAGGAATCGAACCTGTGCCCCCTGCCTTGGAAGCTCAGAGTCTTAACCCACTGGACCACCACGGAAGTCCACACTCTACTTCTATTATTGTTTTCATTTTATTGATGCTAATTATTAATACTGTTAAATATATTGATATTTATTAATATACACTGATTTAAACAATATTAATAAATAGTTTTTGGTTTTTTTTTTTGCCACACCATGGGGTTTACAGGATCTTCGTTTCCTGACCAGGAGTTGAACCTGGGCCCCCTGCATCAGGAGCGCAGAGTCTTAGTCACTGGACCATCAGTGAAGTCCTGGGATGTTCCTATCTGGAATTATGTCACAACACAGGCAAACATCCTCCTGTCTCCCTGTGCAGCCTCTTCCGCAACCTCCCTTCCCTCCGGAAGGGCTCCAGGGGCCACAGAGGGGGTGAGCCTTCCCTCTTTCTGTCCCCGAGTCTCCTCCAAACTCAGCATACCCTGCAGGGGCATCTGGGCCCTCCTTCCTGGACTCACCTTTTCTATGATGCTTGGACCCTCCCAATGGTCTCCTAAGGGGTCTCCAGCCTCATCGACCCCTCGTCTATAATGCAGTTGGAGGGATCCTTCCGGAACGTGATCTTAAGAACCATCGGAAGAAACTCAGCCTCCAAGAGAGGCCACCAAGCCGGCACCACCCACTTTTCCCCCTTCATTCATTTCCCACTGGTGTCGGCCCCTGCCCCACCCACCATGCTTGGGCAAAGTGCTGTCTGTTCTTCCCTGACTCCAAGAGCGAGAAGAAAGCAAAGCGATGTGTGCTGTCTGCGTCCCTCCTGGATCTGGGCTCCACGCTCACTCAAGCACCTCCCTGAGCCGTGCGCAAGCGTGCGATGCACTGAACCCAGGGATGGACAGACAGGCCTGGATCCGAGTCCTGCCTCACCACCAACTGGACATGCTTTGCAGGCCAATCGCTTTGACTCTTTGACCCTCAGTGGATGTCCGTCTATGGGCCTCACTGGTGGCTCAGATGGGAAAGAATCTGCCGGCAACGCACGGGTCATCAAGACTAACGCTCATCGAGACTAAGGTTCATCCACACCCTGTTTCGATTCCTCCGTCGGGACCGTCCACGGGGCCGCAAAGAGTCAGACATGACTGAGCAGCTAACTCTTTCACTTGTTTCATGTCCATCTAGAAGAACGAAGGCAATAATTCTTAACCCTGAGGGTTATTGTGAACAGTCTATGAGATGCAGCAAACAAGGTATTAAGTCTAGTGTCTGGTCCTGCGGCTTCCCAGGTGGCTTAGAGGTAAAGAATCTGCCTGCCAATGCAGGAGATGCAGATGTGGGTTTGATTCCTGGGTCAGGAAGATCCCCTGGAGAAGGAAATGACAACCCACTCTAGTATTCTTGCCTGGAAAATTCCATGGACAGAGGAGCCTGGCAGTCTACAGTCCATGGGCTTGCAAAGAGTCAGACACGACTGAGCGACTAACGCTTTCACTTGATGGGAGTCCACTTCTATTTCATCACAGAGGAGATCCCTGGAGGGGAGACAGCAGGTCTAAGAGGGAGGTCAGAGGTCTCAGAAGGCCAGGAGGCACACCCACACACACACACACAGACACACACACACACACTGGTCCATGAGAGAGTCTCAGAAGCTGCTGCTTATTCTGTGAGATGCCTCCCAACCAACAGGCTGTGTCTCACCCTTCTACTCTGAACTGAGGTTCATCCAGGACTCGGGAGTTTGCCAATGGACTTGACCGTAGGTCCCGTCTTGTCCAACCTCCACGTCTTACAGGTGAGCTAACTGAGACCCCTGGGGCCGGAAATGACTCTCCTAAGGTCATGCAGTGCTTTGGTGTCAGAGAAAGTTCCAGAACCCAGGTGCCCTGGTGCCAGCCCCGTGGCCTCCCCACCATTAAAGCCAAAGTACTGTGCCATCACCCCACCTGTCAGTCACTTCTCAGCAGTCAGGCCCCTGGAAGCGCTCTCAATGGAGAACTTAGAAAAACTCCTGCTCTAGCCCACCCCACGTGATGTCTGCTGGCCATGCCCGCTGTCCCAAAGTGGACAGGCGGCTGCTGGCACAGGGCTCCCCAGCCATCTCCCCTCCAGCCATGTCCAGCCAGCCAGGTGGGCACCTGAACCGGTTGGGGCACCCCGCCTGAGACCCTCAATTCCCAAGGTCCCTGGCCCAGGCCAGGATCAGGCTCAGCAGGTGGAAGGAACCCTCCCAGCCAGCCCTGCCCCAACGCCCCTCTCGACAGTGAGCCCTCTGATATCAGCCCCCTTCCCACAGTCCCGCCTCCTGTGGCCCTGGGAGACCCAGTCACTCAGTCCTTCTCTCTGGAAAATGAGCAGTGTCCTGCCGTCCTCCACAGGGGCCTCCAAGTCCTGCCTGAGACCACAGCCTTCCATTTAGAGCCGCCCCCACCCTCCTGGGAGTGTGTGGCCATCAGGAGCCCCAGTGCCAGGGCAGCTGGGCATTCCTCTCCCTGGCTTTGCCCTGTCTGCTAAATATACATCTAGGAGGAGTCTGGGAGGGAAACGCCACAGACCTTGTTAACTCTTTCACTTCCAGCAGCCATGGAGAGAGTTGGGGGGTGGGAGGTGGGGCGCAGCAGGGCCAGGTCAGCAAACTGGTGGAAGGGGTGCCCAAGACTGGAGGAGCCCTTGCCCAGGCTCAGCTGGAGGGGTGGGAGGCCCCAGCCGATCCCTCAGGCCCGGCCAGGGGGATGGGACCTGGGGTCAGAGGTCAGGGGTGACCGTGGGAAGGGGACCAACGGTGTCCTCATCACCCCCTCCCCACCCCCGCCCAGAGGACCCCGAGGTGGAGGGCAGGTGGAGCCTGCCCTGATAGCCACGAGGCGGAGTCAGGCCTGCACCGCTTTCTCCAGGGGCACCTAGACAGTGGCCTGAGCTCCCTTCCCAGGAGAAGGTGAGGGAGGGCCAGGTGGCGGCCCAGCTTCCCGGGGGCGCCCCCTTTCCGGCTCCTTGAGGGGAGATGTGATCAGACAGGAGGAGGCTCTGGACGAGCCCCCCACCCCTTCCCTTCTTCCCTCCCCTGCGGGCGCCCCTCCGCCAGGCCTGCCTTCCTGCCCCCTCCCTTCATCCTGGCGGTGTGGGGCTGAAGCCGAGGCTCACACTCCCTGAGTGGGCACCGTGCCCGGGGCAGGAGCTGCTGGGGGAGCCTGGGGCCCTAGAGGCACTGACCGAGGCCCTGCGGCTGCGGAGCCGGGTTAGGCCGGTGCCCACCGCGGGGAGGGCAGGCAGCTGGTGTGGGATCAGCGGGAGGGGCTGCCGGACCAGGCGGGAGGGACCAGGATGAGGACCGGGCCCTTCGCACGCTGCCCCGCGCAGCAAGCCTTCCCAGCCGCCAGGAGGACCTGGGGACACCGCCGCGACAGTGACGCCCGCCCGTCTCCGCCACATCCCGGCTTGGAGGAAGGTCGTGACTCCGTGGCCTCAGCGTGGAGAAGAGTGACTAGGGGACCGGTTGAGTCCTGCTGCCCAACTGCTCCCTGCTGGCGGTGGACGTGATGGGGATGGGGGCGTGGATTGGGGTGGAGGGGTGGGGGGTGGGGGTGGGGGTGGGGGTGGGCAGGCACAGTTTCTTGGCAATAACTTAGATCTGCCTGGAAATCTACTTTAAAGGCCCGCCCCCTGGCTACCAGGCCAGTCTGCACAACCGGCTTATCCTGCAGCGCTCCCTGCTGTCTGAGCCCATAGTGACGGGACAAAGCGGGAAGTTGGGTTGCAAGACCCTCTAAGGAACCCAAGATTCCCGGCTTACAAAGGAATCAGGGCCTTGGTGGGGATGCGGGGGGGTGGGAGGGTGGGGGACGCCAAGATCCCCAAGACACCCTCATGCCATTGTCATCCATTGACCATCCCATTGTCCCTGCCTACAGATCTACAACCTGGCAGACCAAGGGGCTCAACATTTAATCCGGTAAATAAGTAGAGTTTCGCTCGCAGGGGGCGACCCCCTCCCCTGGGCATGGTTGCTGAAAATAGCAGACCCTCTAGAAGGCTGGTTCCTTGTCTCCAGCATGCCCCCTCCCACCCTTCCCCATCCCAGGAGCACGTGGACAGCCGTGGGACGTGAATGGGGTGGAGGCCGAGGGACTGGGGGTGGAGGTGGGAGCTGGGAGGTGGAGGAGGCAAGGCGGGATTAGGGGAGTGAGGTCGCCACCGAAGGCCCTGGGACCACTGACAGCCACGCGAGGGAGCAGAGGCGGTGAGTGCAGGGAAGAGGGAAGCTTTGGCAGCGCTGGGGAGCCGTGCAAACTTCAGGGAAAGGCGCTCAGTCGTGTCCGGCTCTTTGCATCCCCGTGGACTATACAGTCCATGGAATTCTCCAGGCCAAGATACTGGCGTGGGTAGCCTTTCCCTTCTCCAGGGGATCTTCCCGACCCAGGGATTGAACCCAGGTCTGCCGCATTGCGGGCGGATTCTTTACCAGCTGAGCCACCAGGGAAGCCTGTGCAAACTTTAAGCTGTTGCAGAATGGAAAAAAAAAAACCAAAAAACCCCACAAAAAACGCTGTTGGAGGCGAGAGCATTAAAGGGAACCCAGGAAACATGGCAAACAACGAATTTATTCTCCTGTCTGAGAACAAATAAGAGCGGCAGCTGGAAAAGGGGGCCAGCAACTCTGTCACGATTAAGAAAATGGAGAGAATTCTTCTGAACAAGAAGGAGATATTCTCAGTGTGGAATTTCAGAGCTCTATAGCTGACTTCTGGAAACTTCTTGAGGGAAGACACTTGCCCTCACATCTTTGTTCATTACGGTTTAACCAAAACATCAAGATCTTCCAAGAATCCAGGAAGAAAGGGGAGGTCACATTTAAGGATTCAAGACTGATGTTGAATCCTGCTATATCAACCAGAAAGAAAGGTGGGGGGACATTCCCTAAAGAGCTAAGAGAAAAATTCTTCTCATCAAAAACTGGACATGCAGCCAAACGAACATTTCTTTTTGAAATAACCACAGTGCTATGGGCCAAATTGTGTCTCCCTAAATTGGTAGATCAAAGCCCTAACCCCCCTGTACGTCAGAATGTGAATTTAAAGAGATGATTGAGTTAAAATAAGGCCATTAGGGTGGCCACACATCTAATATGACTTGTGTCCTTTTAAGAAGAGACTGGAGGACTTCCCCCAGAGGACCAAGTGGTTAAGACTTTGCCTTCCAATGCAGGGGGTGCAGGTTCTGTCCTTGGTCAGGGAACTAAGATCCCACATGCCTTGCAACCAAAAAGCCAAAACATAAAACAGAAGTAATATAACAAATTCAATAAAGACCATAAAAATGGTCCACATCAACAAATCTTAAAGGAAAAAAGATTAGGAAACACATAGAGACACCAGGGATGTGCCCGCAAAGAGGAAAGAGCTTTGGAAGACACAGAGGAGAGCCATCTGCAGCCAAAGGCTAAGGCCTCCAAAAGCAACCAGCTTGCCTGACACCTTAATCTTGGACCTCAGCTCACAGAACCTTAAGAAAATTAATTTCTGTTGCTTAAGCCTCCCAGACTACGGTATTTTGTTATGGCAGATCTAGGGAATGAATACACTCGGACACAGAGATCAGAAAACAAGTTGTTGACCAACTTCCAGACTAGCAGAAATATAAACTGGGAAATACATGAAAAACAACTGTCCTCAGGTATTAACAAAGGGTTAAAGATAGGAAATGAGATCAACTGATAAGATGGAAAATGTGGGGTGGGGTGGGGGGGAACCTGTAAAGGAAAAGCTTGGAATTTCAAAAAGGATTTCCATCTGCCAAGGTATTTCAGCAGGTGGGGTGGAAATGAGCAGGGCAACCCACACCCCAGACAGAAGTGTAGTTCTCCAGAAGCCATTGACAGTTTAATGACAAAAATTCACAAAGGAAACATGAGCAACTTTAACAATACCTTTCATTCCCATTTCAGTGACTTGTTTATTACAGTGATGATCTCTTGCTTTCATTAAAGGGTATAAAGATATCAAAAAGGAACTGCTACCTAAAGCTTCGTAGGCAAATATGATGGTGGTGGTAAGTTAGTCTCTGTCATGTCCGACTCCTTGTGACCCCACGGACTGTAGTCTGCCTGGCTCCTCTGTCCGTGGAGTTCTCCTAAGTAAGAACACTGGCATGGGTAGCAGTTCCCTTCTCCAGGGGATCTTGCCAATTCAGAGATTGAACCCAGGTTTCCCATACTGCAGGCAGATTCTTTACAGTCTGAGCCCCCAGGGAAACCCCTCAGTCCCCAGACCAGGGGTCAAACCCGTGTCCCTTGCACTGGCAGATGGATTCTTAACCACTGGACCACCAGCGAAGTCCCTTTCTGTCTCCTTGAGGACAGCCCACCAGCCAGTTGAAAGAGGCTTCTTCTCTTGCTCCACTGCAGCTGCCTTCCATGGCCAGGGTCTCCCCTGATACTGGACAGCTTTCCTGCAGGGCCCTGCAGGTTTCCTATAAAGTAGGAAAGGCGGGGGGGGTCTCTCCCTCACAATGTTTCATTTGATTCTGCATTAAAAGATGCCCTTCTTCCCAGCACTTTGCTCTGTAGGGTGGACTTGGCCCCTGGGATGGGCTGGAGGAGGCATCATGTTTTGTGTCCTTTCTTGGGGAACCTGCACTATCACCCCCTTCCTCCTTAAGCAAGGAATGAAGCTCTGGTTCATCAGCTCTTCCCACGGATGCATCTTTGTGTACACAGTGTTAATGAACAAGAACTGGGTCCTGTTCGCCTGCACGCAAAGTCAATCTACTGACACCAGGTCGTGGTGAAGGCAAGGGCAGCATTTATTGCAGGGTGCCAAGCGAGAAGTGCAGGCACCTAGTGCTTTAAAAGCCCGAACTCCTTATTTGGTATGTTAAATTACATGGAAATACATTTGTTGGACGAAAGGAAAACAGTCAAACAAAATAAAATCATAATAGTTTAGTCATTAAACCAAATCAAAGACTTCAATTCCTCTTCAAGAGCTATAGGTAATATTCTGTGCAAAGTCCTTTGAGCTATTTCTGCAGCTACTGAAACCCCCGCCAGGTGGAAGACATTAACTGTGTGTGGTCGGTGGGCACGTAGACACCAGATGGGTTGCAAACAGAAAGGTTGATGATGTTGACTCCTGATTACCTCACTATGCACCAATCAGAAGAGTGTCCATGAGCTGATCACTCACCCTGCAACTGTCTCCCTCACTGTCTAAAAGCCTTTCCCCAGGGCTTTCCCTGGTGGCTCAGTAGCAAACAATCTGCCTGCCATGGCAGGAGACACAGGTTCGACCCCTGGTCCGGAAACATCCCATATGCCGTGGAGCAACTAAGCCCGTACCCCACAACTACTGAACCTGTGCTAGAAACCGTACTCCACAACAAGAGAAGCCCCCGCAATGAGAAGCCCATGTATTGCAACTAGAGAGTAGCCCCCGCTCCCTGCAACTGGAGAAAAAACCCTGGAAGCAAGAGCCAGAGACCCAGGATGCCAAAGATAAATAAATAAATAAGTAAGATTATGTTAAAAAAAAAAAAAAACACTTCCCCTAAAAGCCATCAGGGGGTTGCAGCCTTCTGAGCATTAGCTGCCCGGACTCCTGTCTTGGCACCTGCAATAAACACCACACTTTCCTTCACCACAACCCGGAGTCAGTGGATTGGCTATACTGCGCTGGGGAGAGTGGACCCACGTTTGGTTCAGTAACGATGGGGGAATCCTCCATGCCCCTGACCGACTCAGGGCAGGCTGAGACTTTGCTGAGAGGTCCTCCGTCCTCTCTCTCAACTCTTGGGACCAGAGGTGTCTCAGAATTTTTCAGAATAGAGGAAGGTAATGTGTGGTTTGGATCTCCAGTCTAGCAGGGTGTAGGGCATCAGCCCAGAATTAAACCCACTGAGTCTGAAATGCAGTCTGTGCAGCTCCCGCCACCAAGACACACCTGAACCAGCACCTGTTCCGGTCAGGTTTCGTCACTCGATGTGTTTGTGGCAAACTCAGGACATGGTCTTGGTTTTCAGAGCTTTTTGGAATCTAGAACTGTGGATAAAGGATTGAGGACCTGTCTTTTCTTCCTTATGGGTGCAGCTGAAAGTGCCTTCCTGGACATTCCTGCTGTGGGGTGGGAAGTAGGGAGGGAAGGGAGAAGGCCAAGTGCATTTATTTTGCACTGACTGTTTGCCCCGCGCATATCTGCCTTCTTCACTTCTGTGATCCCACTAAGGGTTGGGTGCTGGTGAGGGCCCACCTGGACCTCCTGTTCAGGGGAAAGGTCAGTTCAGCCTGATCAAGAAGCAGAAAGCAGACTGCTAATGTGTTTACCCAATGCCTGGAGCAGGTGGGACGTCCGTCTGCTGTTTCTCCCAGCTGCCTTTCCAGGCTGGCACCACCGAAAGGAGAGAGTCTGGGATGGCCGGGCAGAGCCCCCCTGGGCCTCACGTCAGAGGAGCCATCTCCCTTCCTCCCCTTGGTGGAGAAAGAATCTTCTTCCCCAAGTGCAGAGGTCAGCAGCGTGGCGGGGGCCGCCTCTCCCCTCTCCTGGCCCCTGCGCTCAGAGGGCCTTTTGTTGCTTAGTCCTGTTCCTCGGCAACCATGAAGACTGCAGCCGCAGGCTGTTTGGAGCCCCTGAACCTGTTCTGGCTCCAGGGCAGGGAGTCAATCAAAATCAGTCCAGGACACTCAAGACCCCAAGGTCTTTATGTTGCCCCAGAGCTGGGACATTGAGTCTGCTTAAGACCACTTTCCCAGACAGCTCTCTCCCATTGTTCAGCACCCCAACATGGTTCCCCCGGCCCAGGAAAGGCCTGGAATCCTGGGGACATCTTCCTCTCTCCCTGGCATTGCCAGCAGAAGCCAGAGAAGTAACTGACGCAGGGAATAGAGAGGTGGGCTCCAGGAAGGGGTGGGATAGAACAGTTCATATTCATCCATCCATCCATCTATTCATTCATTCAACCCACCAGCATTAATTTGGCTTCCTGGGGAGCCACCCCTGAAGCAAGAAATCTCTCTCCTCACCCCCAGGTTGCCATGGAGGGTGTTGATAAGTTTGTGGGCACAACCACAGAGACCCCAGTAATCCTAGCGTGAGCCATCCCAAGCTCCCTGCATGGGCTCCTTTCTACAACTCTGCCTCCCTGGGGAGTCCTAGAGGCTTCAGCGTAGGCTCTGCCACCATGCCCGTTGACTGTGACCCCAGGGTGCAGGGCAGGTGGGCGTCCCGGAAGACCTCTCGGACAGTGGCCCGGAAAGTCTTGCTGACGAAACAGTAGAGGCCGAAGTTGACGGTGGTGTTGAGCATGGCCACCATGTTGGCCACATCCAGGGCCAGGTGGACCCTCCAGTCGTGGTGGACGCGGGCCACGTACAGGTGGTAGAGCATGACGAAGGTGCGGGGCGCCCAGGGGAGGGCGAAGAGTGTGGTGACGCCCAGGAGGATGGCGGTGCTCTTGCCCACCTGGGGCCGCGGCCCGCTCCGGCCCCTCCGCTGCAGCCGGCGGACGATGGCCAGGTTGGCCACCAGGAAAACGCCACAGGGGATGAAATAGACAATGAGGCAGTGAGCCCACTTGAGCACCTCGTCCAGCGTGCTGGGCGGGTCCGCGTCCTTCCACACGTCCAGCCACCAGTAGAAGGGGATGCCAGTGAGCAGGGCAGCTCCCAGGACAGTGGCGACGGCCCGGTGGGCCCGGCCTGGGGACGAGGTGGCCCGGTGGCGCAGGGGGTGGCACAGGGCGCTGTACCTGTCCACCGTGAGCAGGACGGCGATCCAGACCGAGGCGTGGTTGGCAGCGAACTCCAGGATGTTAGCTGTGCGTACCACAGCCTGGGGCACCTCGCGGGCCAGCACGGCTCCCTGCAGGAGGAAGCCCACGAACACGATGACCACCTGCGTGATGATGTCCGAGGCTGTGAGCGCCAGAAGGTAGTAGTAGGAGGGCTTCCGGGTCCTGGCGGCGAGGCGGGCCAGGGCCACTGTGGTCAGGAGATTGACTGATGGTCACCGAGGTCAGGGAGGGGAGAGGTCAGAGGTTAGAAGGGCTGCCTGGATTTGCTTTCTCATCATCCCTCCCCACCTGCTGCTTCTTGCTTCTCTTTTCCTCTTTCCGGAACCTTCTTAAAGCTCCCTTTATTGGGAAGGTTAACCAGATCAGCCTTGCCTTGTCCAGCCATGGCACCACAGGCCACTGCCTTACCAGACGACAGGCAGGGATGAGCCATTCTCTAATCCCACCCATCGTCTCCTGCATCCACACCACACCCCTGCTCTTGCTCTCTGAAGGCAGCGGATGGCGCAAGAAGCTTTCAGTGTGAGGCTCTGGGCCGTCCTGCATGAACTTATTCTAGGAGATGCCCATTTCTGGGGGAAGAAGGGGGCTGTCTGCTCTGGTGAAAACTCGGGTTTAGCTATTGAGCACGCCAAGCTTCTGCAATGGCTCAGCGGTAAAGAATCTGCTTGCAATGCCGGAGATCCAGGAGTTGCGTGTTCGATCCCTTGGTCGGGAAGGTCCCCTGGAGGAGGAAATGGCAACCCACTCGAGGATTCTTTCCTGGAAGATCTCATGGACAGAAGAGCTTGGTGGGCCACTGAGCACCCTCACTTTTGCTCCCCACTATGCTTGGCTCTGCAGTGATCCTGGGCACCCCCACAAGGCAAGGGGAAGGATCTACAACCCTGGGTCTCAGGGGTCAGCACAGAGGATTGGCACCCGTCAAAGGAAGACCCCAATTTCTGGCCCAGCCCTGGACCCCAGACCCCACTCCCCACTCACCAGGCAGCCCCAGGCCCAGGAGGACGCTGTAGTAGATGACAGGGATGACCCCAGCCACGCATGGGGACATCGCGGGGCTCTCGGGCCAACGGCCTGCAAACTCCTGGCTCAGCCCACTGCTGTTGGGTGTGGGCAGCAGGGTCACCCGTAGCTGGCCAGCTAGGAAGTGCGGGATGGCAGGTTAGAGCTGTTGGTCTCTTTCCAGCCTGGCCTGGAGCGGCCCCACCCTGACCTTGGCCCTGAGGTCTTTACTCAGCCTGGCTCCGCGCAGAGCCCCTAGTCAGGTCCAGCCAGACGCAGTCCCGATGGCCACGCCCGCTCCACCCCAGCCCACCTGCTCGGGGGGCCTTGGTCCCCTATCAATGGGAAGAAGTGCTCGGTGGCCTTTCTTGCCATCTTAGTGACCATTTCTGAATCACCATGTTCCCAGGCAGCCTGAGTCAGACCATCTGAACTGGGGCTTGAGCACTGTGTTCTTAAGGCATCCTGGCTGATGGGCCTGGACCCACGGTGACTCACGGCAGCCCCGCTGCTGTAGCAAACAGCTGCCTCCTCTTCAAGGAGAGATGTGACCAAGTTCTCTCCTTTCTACTCCAAAGAGCATCTCTCTCTCTGTCTCCTAGTACCACTGGAGCTGGAAGGGTCCTGGTTTTCAGATGGGGAGACTGGGTCCAGAGGGCTCAGGTGTGACCTGCCTGCCATCACACACATCTAGCTGATGGCCGGTCTGGGATGAGGACCATACACATGCTCTGGTTGCTCCCCACCTAGTCTACACTTTTGGATTTTAGGTTTCGCCTTCCAGCTTTTGATTTTTTCCACTTCAAGCTCCCCGTTCCCATCCCACCTCCAGATTCCTTGCTGGCCTTGCCACCTCACTCTCCCTGCCCACCCCGGGTCTGAGGCGCCTCACCTGTCTCTCCTCCTGCCAGCTGCATGCTCCTGGGTCCCGGATCACCGTGTGGCTTTTTCCGGGGGTGCCTTCAGCTCCCTCTTAGTTGTTTGCCGACGATTCTTCCAGCAGCACTGCGCCTGCGATCAGTACGTGCGAGGCAGCAGGTGGTGGGAGGGGGGAGGGGGAGGAGGGGGAGGAGGGGGAGGAGGGGGAGGGTGGGGCTGGAGGCCCAGCAGGATGAGCCTGAACAGTGATACCGTCTGGAGCAAAGCAAGATTATGAGGGAGCCTGGGAAGGGAAGGGGCGAGGCTGGAAGGCAGCACTGGCACTCTAGGTGGCCTGCCCCATGCTCCAAGGGCACTGGGAACCAGCCTGGGCTCAGTCTGGCTGTCAGAACCCTGGGGGTGAGGATTCTGAAGAAAGGCAGAAGGGTCCCAGGAGCTGACTCAGAGAGGAGTGGGGGGCAACCTTTGCTGGGGAGGGAGCACTGAGGTTGCCTGGGGCCGGACACGGATCTGGAGAGGAGCCCCCAGGCCAGGCTGAAAGGAATCAGTCGTGCAGTGGCTGCGGGTGGTGGGCCGAGAAGGAGGCTACCCCTGGGTGGGGTGGGGGGGCTGCTGGCCTGGAAGGATGGCAGGAAGCCATGCCCAGGGCTGGCCGGGAACCCCAGGAGGAGCCAAACCCAGTTGCCAGCAGCTCTGGGAAACCCAGACCCAGCGGCACCCCGCAAGCCCTTGTTTTCCTAGCCCTGGTGAAATGAACCATCCTTCAAGCAGTCACTAGCAAATAAACACCATCCGGCGTGGCTTGCAGTCTGGAGAGACTGGAATTTGAGCCTGGCCAGCTCTCCCATCCCACGTGGGGAAGACTCACTAGTGCAGCCTGTAGTGGGTGCCTGGGACACGTGCGGATTGAGTCTGGGGCGAGCTGAGGCCCAGCCTGGAATCGCCTCCCACGCTCCCCCTCTGGGAATGCTGAAGAGCCTGTCTCTGGGCTCCCTGAGTTAGACCTGAGCCCCTTGGACTGCAAGGAGATCAAACCAGTCCATCCTAAAGAAATCAACCCCGAACATTCACTGAAGGACTGATGGTGAAGCTCCAAAACTTCGGCCACCTGATGGGAAGAGCTGACTCGTTGGAAAAGACACTGATTCTGGGAAAGATTGAGGGCAAGAGGAGAAGGGGGATGACAGAGGATGAGATGGTTGGATGGCATCACCGACTCAATGGACATGAGTTTGAGCAAACTCTGGGAGATGGTGAAGAACAGGGAAGACTGGTGTGCTGCAGTCGGTGGGGTTGCAAAGAGTCGGACACAACTTAGTGACTGAACAACAACAAAGTTAAATCCTACTCTGGGGCTGGAAGTACCAGGATGCCCACCCCCAGCCTCACCTTCACACCCAGCCGCGGACCTCACAGAAGCCTTGCTGCTCCCTGGTGGCCAGGTCTGGCACTGCATGCCTCCAAGAGCACTGGCTTTGGCCAGGTCCCGTGGGTGGCACAGTAGGCACTCAGGTCCCCAGGCAGAGTGTCCGGGACTCCAGCAACAGAGGGTGCAAGTGGCACAGATAAGTCCCCAGGCCACCACCTCCCGGCACCAGGAGGCTGTGGATGAGCAGGGGGCCACTTACAGCCAGGCGTAAGGGTCCCTGCCGACATCGGAGGACCCATCCCATCCGCACGAGTCTCCCTCCCTGCAGCCCTGCAAGCTAACATGGGACACCTCAATTGCACGCGAGAGGGGACCGAAGCTCAGAGAAGTCCGGCAAGTAGGCTAAGGCCACAGAGCTTGTAAGTGGCGGCAGGTGGAATTTGAACTCGGCCTTGTCCCTCCTCCAGAGCCGATACTGGCCGCTCCCTCCCACTGGAAGAGCAGGCGCTCAGGTAGCGCAAGTCCCCCGTGAGCTCAGGCTTTACCGGGAGGGGAAGTGGGTCAGGTAGATACACCCCTCGGATGCACAAGGCCCTCCAGCTGGGGGTGGGTGGGCAGCATGATGCAGGGTGCTGAGGCTGGAAGGGGGTTGCCACCGCCGGACAGCCTGGCTTCAGGTGAAGCTTTCCGTATCACGTCAGTTACTTTGAAGAGCGATTCTTTCCTGTTTATCACTGCTGTGCCTCCCCCGCTCAACCCCGAGTGGCCTGGAACCTAGACTCCTGATTCCTTGGTCCCCAGTCTAAGTGTTCCGGGGCACCCTAGCTCAGGAAGTGAGACATCACAGGTACAAGGGAGACTGCAGCTGGGGGGAGGGCTGGGAGCCCACCCCTCCATCCTCCCGTGTCTGCTCACCCTTGCCGCAGATCCAGACACTCTGCATCCTGCCCCAAGCTTGCTCTACCACCACCAGCGATTCCTTGCCTCGCGCGTGGCTACTGAAATAGCTTCCCAGAAGAGACAGTATGGAGGCGTGGAAAGAAAAGCAGACAAGTGACATCTGAATCCAGGCTCGGCCCCTTCTGGGCCAGGAGACCTCAGACAAGCCCCTTGGGTCATGGATACTCTTGTCTCAGGTGGGAAGTTACACTGGTCTCTGGGAATTGTTCTAGCTCAGACTAGCTCTCGAGGAATTACGGAGCCTCCACTTCCAGATGCACAGGGCAAGACAAAATGGATTGTCTCTGACCTTCCATCTGCAAGATTGGGCAGGGCGGACGCCCCACTTCCTCTCTCCAGCTCCAAGACTCTCACGCACACCACACACACAAACACCTACAAGCACATGCATACATACTTACAGACCGAACATACGTACATATGAGGGCACACACGCACAGCACACACACACATGCACGCATACACTCCAGAAACCCTCAGACTAAGAAAATGAAAACAGAGAATGCATATTCCTGGAAAGCCAGGTTTTTTTGTTTGTTTTTAAAAATTTATTTGGCTGAACTGGATCTTAGTTGCAGCATGCAAGCTCTTTAGTTTCGACATTCGAACTCTCAGTTGCAGCATATGGGATCTAATTCCCTGACCAGGGATCGAACCCAGGCTCTCTTCACTGGGAGCTTGGAGTCTCGGCCACTGGACCAGCAGGGCAGTCCCTGAAAAGTCAGTTTTTAAATCAGTAGAGGAGTTTCAGGGATGACAAGTTAGAGCCAGAAGAGGTGAGGCCTCTCAGAGATGGGGAGTCAGAGGTGACCCTCTTGTCTTCTGGGTAACCTGGGCCCTCCCCAGTTCCTGCAGACTTGAAATGCCATCCGCCTAAGTCTAGCAGGTGGAGCTTAGCTGGGGGTGTACCTGACCATCGTCGAGATACTAAGAAGACGCAGGTGCCCTGGCTTCTACGTGGAGGGTGGGAGATTCCAGCGCAGTGGGTCACACTTCTGAGCCTCAAGGAGACTTTCTTACTGAAAGGCCATTTTCTGACTAGTGGGTTCTCTCAGCATCATCTTTGTAAAAAATCATCAATAACATCCTATTGAACAGCACTGGCCCTGACCCCCCACCCCCCCACCCCCGCCTTCACACTGAGGCTCTGTCTTGTTGGATTGGGTCAGGGAGGTGGTACGGCCCCTGGGAAGGGCAGGCGCGCAGCCAGTGGGCAGAGGGTGGCGAATCTGGATGAAGGGAGCCGGGCGTGAAGGTCAGGACAGCCGGGAGGGGTTTCCGCTGGGCCGCACAGCTGTGCCTCTGCCAACCCGGACGAAGCGGGTGCCAGACCCAATTCCAGCTCTCTCTGTGGCTCCAGAGAGGGGTGGGGGGTGGAGCTGTTGGGTTTCTCTGTGCCAGCCTGGGGCAGAGATCAATGCATTGAGCCGGTCCCTGGGATTCAGAGAGCAAGGGCGGGTGGGCTCTGACCCAGCCCCAGTGAAGGACCCGGCCTCGGGAGAAACACTAAGCTGGATCTCCCTGGAGCACCGCCCACCCCTCCCAACACCCACCACACACACACACACCATTTCAGTTTATCAACTTGGAAGGACTCCCTCCAGTGAGGATCTGGGCCAGGCCCTACCTGCTCCTGGAAAAGGTGAGGCCCCACCAGTGCCGCCCACCCACCCCCCTGGGCTCCAGACCCCACCCTCTTCTCACTATTCCTTTATCCTTAGAAGAGCTCTCCCCTGCACTAACCCAGCTGACACTGTCCCCTAGCTGTCTGCCTCAGTGTCTCCGACTGTCAGGGTGGATCCAGGCTCTGCTGTGTGTCTCCTTGCAGCTTTTATTATTATTATTATTTGACCGCACCAGGTCTTAGCCGCAGCAAGCCAGACCTTAGTTGCCTGATCAGAGATGGAACCCAGCCCCCCTGCCTTGGGAGCACGGAGTCTTAACCACTGGACCACCAGGGAAGCCCCCTCCTTGGAACTTTGAGATGGGAAAAATTACAGTAGGAAGTTGGACAGAAGCTGGTAAGAGAAAGCTTCCAAGGAGGTGAACCAAGAGACCTGAGACCACTTGAGAAGGTGAATTAGAGGAAGGTGCCAGGGCAGCTCCTGATCAGACAGCGGGTGGGATGCCTGTGGGGGACCAGCCTCAAGTGAGGCAGCCAGCCCGGTTCTGGGTGGGGGTGCTCCGGGGCAGGGGTGCAAAGGCTGGGGTGCAGCTGCTCTATGCCCAGCCCTGCCATCCTAGCTCACCTTGACCTGGCGGGGTGGGGGTGTGATGGCCATAGTCCCCACGTCCCTAAGGCCCACCACCCTCCTCAGAGCATGCCAGGAACATTCTTCAATGCATGACATCAAAGTGACATCAGCTACCCCAGGGCCCCTACTTAGAGCCCTGTCCTCTTTTCTGGAGCGCTAGCCCACCCCAACTCGGGAGGGGGAGGGGCGGGGCCTGGGCTGCTGCCTCCTCCTGTTCCAGGCCCTTCCTTCGCACTCCTTGGCTCACCATGGTGCTCCGGCAGGGATGCTGCCAAGCGTATTCTGTGCCAGGGCGGGGGGGTCAGGGGAGGGGGCTGGGGACCCTCTGGACTGGTGGCTGCCTCTGGTTCTGGAGCCCTTTGCCTGCCCTTTGGAGAGCCTTCGGCTTCCCAGGAGAGGAGTGACTAGCTATGCCGGGTGGTAAGAGATGTGGGGGAGGCCGCCGGATCTGGTC